GGTAAAAGAACATTGGGGTAAACAAAGATAAACAAAAACTTTACAAAATATAAAAATTTCTCAAAAAAAAAAAAACTCAAAATTTAATAAAAATTTTTTTTTTTTTGGGTTTTAAAAAAAAAAAAAAAAAAAAAATTTTCATAAAAAAAAAAAAAAAAAAACTGTACAATTTTGCTCTACAAAAAAAACCCAATTTCTTTCCTTATGGATCAAACAAAAAAAAATCTATTTTCTTTGAAATCAAAGAATGAATATTGTTGACAATGGGCCTTGAAAAGTTATTCTGGGAATGGCATTGTTATTGAGCGCTTGTAACGATAAGTCGAATATATTTTATTGAAAGTCCCTAATGACTAATAATAAATAATAATAATAATAATAATAATGATGATGATGATGATGATAAATGAACGGTCGGTAAGTCATGTGGATAATACTTTAAAGATTAAATTAAAAAAGCATACCGAAAATTTATTTGAAAATTCTTCATTTTCCTTCAAACGTTCATGTCTTGATTTACGTTCTTGAAGGTCTTTAAGAGCGCAATCCATTTGATCATGCAAATCGACAAGCGAAGCATGATCTTTATGATCTGGTGCGGTGGCCCTTAATAACGTCTATAAATTCAATATGGAATATGGAATAATAATAAGAAAAATAAGAAAAATAAGAATAAGAAAAATAATAAGAATAATAAAAATGATAAGAATAATAAGAATAATAAAAATGATAAGAATAATAAAAATGATAAGAATGATAATAATAATAATAAAAATGATAAGAATGATAATAATAATAATAATAAAAATAATAGAACATACCATAACCAAAAGAGGATATTTGCATAATCTTTGAAATGGTTTCGTGAGTAAACTTTCTAAAGTTAGGAATCTGCCGGGTAATAGGTCTGACTCCAAAGATTTTACTAGTTGACCTAATTTATTGTTCTTTTTACGTGCATTTGCTATTTCTGATATTGCCATTTTATGATGAATAAGATATGATTCATAAATTTGGAATTGTTTTGATAAGTCTCGAAGGATGTGCGTTATTGATGGTACGACTGGATACATAATTGCTTGCGTACAACGAAGTTGCTGTAAAAAAAAAACCCCCAGTTTGTTAGTAAAATAAATATAATAAAATAAATAAATAAATATGTATATATATAATATGCAAGGAAATACTAACTAGAGAGACATTAAGATGTAATAACAATATATCCGGCAATATCTTAAATGTTTGCACAAGACTAGAAGGTAAACGAATGCCAGAATCTTGGAATCTATTTATATAATGCTAATAATAGATCACATGATATTGTTAATTTTATTTTCAAATCTAAATAATATAATGAATGCATGCATTGCATACTTCTGTCAAGTATTTCATATCTTCGACAAATGCCTTTTCAGTACGAATAATTTCAAATATTATTTCTTGTCGATGAATTTCAGCTTGTGGTAATTCTGCTTTAACATTGGGGTCAACTTGTTCTTTCCACAATGGAGTAGCAGGAGTTGGAGTTAAAGGTGTTACAATAGATGGTGAAGTAATATTTGGAGCCGAAGCATTCCAACTACGTTTCATCGATAATTTTAAAAAGCCACTACTGCTTCTTATAATCCTCGGTTTTTCACGTCTTTCATGAACTGATACGCAATATATAGATATTTTTTCGTCTAAAAGACTATCAGTTGTTTCGTTGTTACCTGTAACTGCCTTTCCAGTTATTTGAGGAACATAAGTTCCTACCACCCGGTTAAAGGCTACCAGTAGTCCGTTAAATAACATAGTCTTATCGAGTTTAAAAGGTTTTTATAAAAAAAAAGAAAGAATTAAAATATTTCTTCAAGAATTTTGAATTTTGAACACCTCTTTTTTTTTTTTTTTTTACAAGAAAAAAAAAGAAAAAAAAAAAAAAATCAAAAAAAAATTGTAAAAAAAAAATGTAGGACTAAAAATTTTTTTTTTTTTTTCTGAAACGATGGAAGAGGGGATTTTATATTTATTCACAAAAATACCAAAGTAATATAAGAATTTTTTATTTTATAGAACGATATTAAACGTGATGCATGTAAAAATAAATGCGACCATACATCTGGTGGGCAGTAAACCTTGCACGCGACTTTTAATAGAAAGGGGAATCTCATAATATATATAATAAATTTTTAGACTGGCACATCTAATACATCCTTTAAAAAAAACAAATCATAATGTACACGAATCAAATTTATGAATATTAGATGAATTGTGTAATTTAAGAAAACTCTGCATATATACAGTATATAAGTATATAAATAATAATATAAAAAATTATATAAAATAAATTATCTGTTATTAGTTAGTTATTGTAAAAAAAAAAAAATTACGTAAATTACGAAAATACTAATTTAGTATAGTTTCACCAACATAAATAAACATAAATAAGGTGATCGAATTTATAAGAACAATGAAAATTACATAAAAACATAACCTAAAACAGACGAATAAATGTAACCAAAATTTTTTTACGTCGTTTTTTATAACAGGCGGTTGTTTCACACCATAACAAACATTTCAAGTACGTAATATGTAAACATAAAGTCTTCTTTAAATAATTGGGCGTTATCGTAAAAAAAAAAAAAAAAACGGTTTAAACAAACTGGACAACTTGAACAATATGAATTTTTAATTTTTTGATTTTACATAATTTAGTCAAACCTGCCTGCATAGGTTTAGAATAGGTAATGTTCTTAATATCTGGCTTTGAAAGGTAATCTTATCAATTTTAGAATTTTCTTTACATCATAACTTTATTTAGTTGTAATATCTTTTAACAGTTAATAAGTATACGTATAATAAAAATTTTTTGATATATTTTTGCTAATTTTGCTAACTATTATCTTCTATTATCTGTTAATATAAATATTATAAATATTATTATGCAAAAGTTTTTGATTATTATTTCAATTAATAAAGTTTTTTAAAAATTTTTTTAGGGATCTTGACTACTTTAATTCAATTAATTCACATTAATGAATCAGGGATAACTTTTATAAAATACATCAGATTTATTTATGATAATAGAAAACAATGATTTATTTATTATTTTGTGATTACGGATTAATTTTTGAATGAATAAATGAATCTTCTGAATATAGGAGGTGAATTGAAGTAAAAACTTGATTTTAAATACGTTTTCAACAAAACGGTATTAAAGCTTGACGCAATTGTACCCTTTGCATTAGGCAGATCGTCTAAATGATTGGTACTTTTTTTACCATCCCCTTTTTAAAAAAGATCTTTCTTTCTTTCGACAAGGAATAAAATTTATTATATTGCTATTATCAATTTTTTAAGTATACGTAATATATATCATTATGCTTAACCTAAACTTCTTTTAGATAATGTAAGGATAAAGTCTAAGCTTCTTTTAGATAATGTAAGGATAAAGTCTAAGTTTCTTTAGATAATGTAAGGTTGAACCCTAAAAATTAGACATCTTGGATTTTCATTAACTTAATTACTTAATTATTTCTTTTACTTATCAAGCAGTGATCCACATTCAAGATTAACGCGTTATATCATTTGTATGGCCCGTGAAATCTCTTTTCAAAGTGACCACTTAATTTTTTTTTTTTTTACAATAACAGATTATCCCTTTAATATATGAAAATTCCCACGGTATACATATTCTAGATCTTCCATTATTTCTCTTAAACAACCAGGGTTAGTAGATACGTATGGTTGGTGCTAATATATTTAATTATGTGAAATATTTGGTAAAACGTTTTTTTAATTAATATTTTTATTCTTAAATTTCTTGTTCGTCATTTATCCATTATTATCGAATTATTTTAATTGATTGATTATTGATTATTACTTTTTAAACTATATATTTTTTTTTTAAATCAAAGAGTTTATCAATACTTAGTAGATAGTTGATAACGATAGTGATACACAATAATTTTAATAATTTTCACGTGAATAATAATTATAAATACAGTATATCAGATATAATAAACCGATTAAGATTGGTTAAATACAAATTTGTAGTTTTAAAGTTTCACGAATTTCAATTTTCTCTTAACTTGGTATGCCATTGTTAACCGATCCTTTAAATTCTGATATAAACAGAATTATTACATTAATTTCTTTATTTATCAAAGTCTTTGTTGTCAAAAAAAAAAAATCTAATCAATCAATGGTTACATATGAAAAAAAAAAAAAATCTGTGAAACTTTATCGAAACTCTGTAAATCAATAATTAATGTATTCATGAAACTTGGAGGCTTCAATATATCAAAAATTGGTAAATTATCATAATTTTGCAACATCCAATTGTGGATATTCTATTTTTGATTAGTTGAAACTTATTTTTTTCAATTCATCCTTGATCGTAGATATTTTATCTCGAAACAAATAAATCGCAACATAATTATATCATTTTATTTTCCTAACGTGATATGGTTACAGTTTGAATATATATAAAGTAATACTGTATCATGTTACTGTATAATAGTTGATGTTAATTGGCTTAAGTTTATCAATATATTTTTATGAACCAATAATAAAGTATTTAATATCTGATACATATACGTATGTGAATTTTATTACGTACAAAAATATCGTTTTTATCGTTATAAAAAAATTTAATTTGACTTTTTTTTAAAAAATTTGACTTCATAATTTGTCCAATAAAATAATGATATTTAAATTTTAATAATGTGTTAAGATATTAATTTGGTTAAATCGTTTACTAGTGTGTAGTACTAAGTAATATTTCATCTTTTACTATTTTCAAATAAATGCTAGTTCCATTCATTCATCTTTAATTTATTTTACGTATACATACAAAATGAGTTAATAATAATAATAAATTAATAATATTTAACCATTAATGATATCAATTTTGAAGATAGTTACACGATCAATAACAAATTTTTTATACACTATATATATATATATATATATATTTTTTTTTTTTTTTTTTTTTTTTTTTACAAAGCTCGTAACTTAGAAAATTGGTTAAACTAAGTAAAAAGTAAAATTATAGATTTCACACTTATAATACTGTACATGTACTATATAATCTTTCAACTTTTATTTAACTATTTACATAGTTAATACTGTATACGTTTAAAAGATATTTAGTTGAAAAATCTAATATCTCCGATTTATGCAAAGTGAGAAACACAAATAAAATAATTTATCAAGGTAATAATAGTAAGAAGCAGTGCACAAAATTTCCGAACGTCGGAAGCTTTTATCCGGTATTATGGTGTTTATTTTAACCGGAACTTTGAAATCTCTACCGAATATAGCAATTTTTTTTTATTAATAATGATTTGTAATATTTCTTAAGATTTATATATATATATATATATAACGTAACGTATGTATGAATGATATAATGTTCGGAAATTTTCCGATTGATGAAAAGTCAAGGCGGAAATTGTGATGACGAAAAGGAAATCCCCGGTAAATTTTGGGCTCTGGTAAGAAGTAATGGTTAATAACTATTTTATTAGTACATAACGGCATAACAAACCATAGTAACTTGTAAAAGTAAAGAAAATCTAGTAATCATACTTTATGTCACATGTAAGTGATCGATGCTATCGAATTAAAATTTCAAGAAAAAAAATTAAATTAAATTTTAAATTTGAAATTTGTAATTCTCTATTTATAAATAGCTATTAAAAAATAGGAAAATTCTAGGCATCTCTAGCCAGCAGTGTTGGCCATTTTAGGTCATATCCAGCCTTACATGACCAAGGTGGTCATAATGTATTAGTAAATTTTATAAGTCATAACAGGTCATAAGATCATAACCTATAGTTGACCAATAGGTCATAACAGGTCATAGGCCAACACTGCTAGCCAGAGATGTTTAGCTTATACATCTCTGGCGTAAGACTATGTTTAAGGATAGAGTGTACGTAGATCATTTTTACTATGATCTGCATGGTAAATCCTATTTTTGGAGGTCCGTTAAAGCCAGGTACGTTTACATATAGATCTACATATTGCATAAATTACATTCTTGATAAGTATATATAAATAAACTATTAACTGCATCAAAAAAACTAACTCTAACGAACCTGGCTTTAACATTCCCCTATTTTTGGTAAAAAAATGAACACATGTATATAATAAAAATTTTTCAAAATTTAATAAAAATTTATAAAATTTTTACAATATATATATTAAAATAGAATAGACAATTTCTATTTGGACACGGGGTGTCAATACACTAGGTAGTACAAAAGTATTAGAAAAGTCAATCAAAATTCAAGATCAAGTGTAACATGTAAATCTTTTTTGTATAACTTTCTTTCTTTAGAGCTCATATACTCTAATCTAAAGATATTTCTTGGTATACTTCTACATCTACTTCATTTTATGCTTGATTCTTGGTTTTAGAGACTTTCTGATCAGCCTTAATACTGCCTGTGGCTTTGCTTGTTTTGATATCTTCTATATCCTCAGATATATTGCTATTGGCTTTAGAGAATAATATAAGTTCACTTTTTAGACTAAGTGGTGCTATATAGTTTTGCAAGAATACTGAAGTATATGAGGTTGCTTGTTCTTCTTCTTCTACTTTCATTTCTATTTCTTCTGTTTTGACTTCAGCCTCTTCTGTATAATATATTCTTTTCTCTTCTTCTGATTCTATTAGTACTTTTACTTTATCGAATTTATCTATTATTACTACTTTTTTGATTACTGCTTGCTATTATCTAGCTATTTTAACTATTTCTAATTCTATACCTATTAGTTTAACTACTATTTTGTCTAGATATTCT